CACACACACACACACACACTTTTCTTTGTCTATCTTTATTTTGCACATTGCTATTTGTTTTAGTCCTTCACTATAAACTGAGATTACAGAAATCACTAATACTTGAATGGATTAACTTGTCAGATTTCCCTCTTCCATAGCATCAGGCCAAGAACAAGGTCCTAATAAAACTATGAGCCAGGTGTCACGGCGTGTGCCTGTGGTCCCCGCTGCTTGGGAGGCTGCAGCAGGAGAATCACCTGCACCCAGGAGTTTAAGGCCAGCTTCAGCAACATAGCCACACCTTGTATGGAAAAACAAAACAAAACAAATTCAGCTATACACCCAATACACATAGCAAAGAGAGAGAGGAAGAGTAATTTTGGAAGAAGAAAAAAAATCAGGAGATTGCCCAAGTACACAGCAGCAGCAGCAGCTCTGCTTCACTATACAGTAAGCAGCAACCCCAGAAAGAGTCCACAACTTTGCCTCCTACACGGGGACCCCAATTCCATCACTGAGAAACAGAGGACAAAATTCCTGATGGATAATGCCTATCACCTTTTCTAATGTTTCCTCCTTCTTTTTAGTACTTAAATATTTTCTCTGGGGAATTCCTTTGAGCACACATTAATTTGAGATAGTGTACTAAGGTCTAGTTATCTTTCAAATAAAGGAGAGGGGGTTAACTTTATTTAAAAAAAAAAAAATCAACCTCTTTTTTCTTTTCCGGTGCTAGGGTTCAAGCACCGGAACTCTAGACAAGTGCTCTACAACTGAACTATATCTCTTGTCTTCGGTAAGTCACTTGGTATCAATTAGACCTATCAACATAGGGAGAAATAATTTTAGTGAAAGGGTGCTCCATGTGTAATTACAAAACGGACCATATTTTTAAAAGTCCATTTATTAATATGAGCTATATAATAGACATGGAGAATCTAGCATTTTGGCTGAGGTCATACAGCTGGTAGATAGCAGAGTCAAAATTCAAACCTAAACCCATCTGACTTGAAGTCCGCACTATTTCCATGTGCATGACCGTTGTTAGCCACTGCTTTAGGTGCCTTATATTCATTAACTCCATCTTCACAGTACTGGTAGCCCTGTGAAGTGGGCATTATTCTTATCCACATTTTATACTTAAAAACACTGAGACAGAAAAAGGTGGAGTAATCTGAGTAAAGTTGAGCAGCTTGTAAGTGATAAGGCTGGGGTTTGGTCCCAGGTAAACTTGACAATACAAAATATTTCTCTAGGACTTTAACTCAAAATTTGTCTTCTTGGAAAGGAATTTTGAAATCCTGTCCCATGGCAATCAGTTTTAGCCACCAGAGAACAACTCCCTCCCATTCCGTTTCCACCTGCTTCTCGACCTGCAGCAGGTGAGGTCCTGAGCCCTATGACCACCGATGCCACAGTCACCCTGCCATCTCTGAGTCAGGCTACAGGACACAAGGTCCAGCTCCCAGCTGTGTATAATTGGGCCAGTCCTACAACCTCTCCAACTCTCATTCCCCTTCTCTGTGAAATGACCATATTGAACCCCATCTCATGTCCCAGTTCTGAGGATTCAGAATATTTGTATTCTCACTGACATGGCTGGCAGCATTCACTAAATGGTAGCTATCATCAGCATCAGGGACAGCACAACTACTATTATTATATTACTGTCTTACACCAACAACATAAAACATGATGACAACACTTGCCATTTTTGGTTATATATTTGTGTGCTATCTTCAAAGGAAGATATATTCACAGTCCTGTGAGAGAAGACATATTCTGCCTTCAAAAACATCTGAAGCAAAACAATGACTAGGAACAATACTGTGCATTATGTTAAAACACCATGTACCAAAGAATGGCACTTGTCATACTCACAAGTGAAAAATCAGAAAATTTTGATTCCAACATTTTGCCTTAAGCCTTGGGGCAGGAATGACAGGGACATTAGCTATTAAGGAGAATCTTCTCTAACACATAAGCACAGTGAGTCAGCTCCCCTACCCAGCCGACACAGGCCCAGTGCAAGGAGGCTTTGGCAAAGACTCCTGGGGCAGACACTGGATGAACTGCCTTGCTCCTTTCCCTGGTGCTATCCAAACCAAATTTTTTCAAGTAGTAGGCAATGGTGGACCCAGGGAAGGTAGATGTTGCCTCTGGGAATGAATCATAATCAGTCATATTAACACTGGCAGGTCCTATCTCCAAAATTGTATTCATAGGCTAGGATAAAGAAGAGAAGGAAAGAGCTGAGAGTGTAGCTTAGCAGTAAAGCTCTTGCCTAGCATGTGTGGTGGGGCTCTGGATTTTAGTACCAGCAATGAAAACAGATGAGCTTCAGGCTGAGAAACCTTTGGACTTGAATCTGGGTTCTGGCACTTATCAGGGAAATCAAATAAGTATATAAATAATTGGCTCTCTCTCTCTCTCTCTCTCTCTCTCTCTCTCTCTCTCTCTCTCTCTATCTCTATCTCTCTCTCTCTCTCCCCAAAAGTAGTTGGAGACCTCTCCAAGATTTCAGTGAGCTAGGGCCACAAGGTCCCTAAGCTCTAGTTTCTCATGTTCTCTTGACCTGCTTCTGCCCTGCACCTCATTATCTCTCATGTCAAATTGAGGACTTCCTTCAGTTCCCACAGGGCAAAATAAAATCTCTCATGCCTAACACTGCTGCATGTAGTAGCCATTACTAAAGAACTCAGGAAATGGGGAGAGGGTACACTTTGAAAACAGTAGGCCCCATCTTCTTCAAGGCCCAACTGACCATACTATTACTGTGGGCTTTCTCTGGATTTTCCTGACCCCAGCTTTGTTCTGTCTGCTGGATAATCCTCCTGTCTTCTCTCCTTTCTTTACCTTCTCCTGGTACAGTGCACTTTATCCCCAAACTGCAAAGGTGTGGTCATATCTAACACTCAACTTCTCAAAAGAACTTACATCTCTCCCACTGGGTGTGGAATAGACTGTGGGAAAAGTTGATGAAATTCTCCAAATGGCTCTGTGAAAATCTATTTCATTGGCTTCAGATAAAGTTAAGCAGGGGCAACCCACTCGGGTCCCCCTTCCGTCCTCTCTGAGGCAGAAGCTTTCTTTCCCAATAAAATATTCTACTCTTAACCTCCATTTGTTCCTAAAATTCATTCTTCGATTTTAGAGAACACAAACTCATCCAGGTCAGGTCAGGAGTTTTACTTCCCTGTATCATTTGGAGGTCATCCACCGAGATCACTGAACGGAGGTATGAGTTTGCTTTTCTTTCATGAATTCTGGATTAGGACTTGCTTAGGTAACAAATTTTTATGCTTCAAATGTTAATGTTTTTGCCCATTGCACATAATTAATTGTTCATACTTTGTCTCATACGTTTTGTCTCATAATACTGTTAAAATTGTTTACAATTGCTTATGCTTTGTCTTTATGTACTTTTGTTAAAA